GCCTTTTCCTCAGTCTGGAATTCCTTGAAAACTTGGCTCCTACATTTGGCGCCAATCTATCCACCATCTATGATACTCCTCCTAGTATCATCTTACCTGAAAAGCTGTTCCTCTATTCAGAAGTCCATATTTCAGTCGTTTCTATGAACACATTATATTTTTACTTATAGAATCCCAAAAGGAACCGGATTTTCCAACGGCAAAATATCAAATTGCAGAAAGGGCTCTCCCAGCTCTCGTTCCCACTCTCAATGGAACCCATTCAGGGTTCCTACAAGATTGTGCTGGAGAAGTCGGGAAGAAAAATAGAGCACTCCTTTGAGGTGAAAGAATATGGTAAGAATTGTACATGTGTAAGGCATGTATGATATTTAATATTGGCAAATTGTTACCAATAGGTAGCAAACAAAGGTCTAGCATACGATAGTTCAAAATTAGCAAGCCTTTTTCACTGGATATTTGCTGTATACTTTTCATGAATTTCATGCACTGCCTCCTTTAATCCTTACAATAGTCCTCTGAGGCAAATACTAGTATTGTCTGCATTTTACAAATAAGTATATCAATACTAGAAAAGTTAGCAATTAAATAGATCCTTGCGAACCTATACAAGCATAAATTGTTAACCAATACCTGGGTCATTTACACACACTATACATCTTTCTTCTGTATCTTATAACTGTAGGTATTTCCTGGGATTGTACATGGCTCTCTATAACCTATACCTACACTATTTGAATCAACTATGATGCAAAATCGTAGTAACTTATTAATCAACTAAACCATAGTTCAACTAAGCATAGTAATCAACTAAACTCTAACATAGTGGATTTAACGTTTGATGATAGTCGATTACTAAATCAGGCCTTGAAGCCATCTTCCTAATTATCAGTTAGGTGAATTTTTAATGTAAATTAAATATTTTAATTTTTAAAATTAAAAATCCTGTATGACTGAGAAGTCCTATAAGAAAATAGGACTCTCAAGACTTGTTAGAACTGTGCCATAAGAATCACAGAATAGAGGTGTATTATAGGATAACACCTTAAAGAACTGTGAGAGAAGCCAGAAAAGAAAGAGTCCATCAGAAGGAGTTGACACCTCAGGGAAGATTACTGAAGAATTAGTGGGAGAGTTGGCTGGAGATCTGGGAAGCCAGGCACCTTCAGCTTCCCGAGGGTACCATGTGAGGGAGCAGGTAAAAAAATCTGTAGAAGGCTGTTACCTCTGCACTCTGCATGGCTAACATTTCAGTGGCCTGTGGCCTCCATCAGTCAGCAGGGCTAGCACTGGGGAAGAAGAGCTAGACACAGGGAGAAAAGAATAAAGACAAACTGGAGCCTATTGGCCCCTCTGTTACCACATGTAACTATGATGA